GGGTTTCTGCCGCAGATAACAGAGGAAGGGGAGGACAGGGAGACGAGGGGTGAAATTATTTCTAAGTTTATCTGACTTACTTAATTTTATTTGTTGTTTTTATCATCCTGCAGGCTCTTAGAGAAAATTAATTTGAAGCTGAGTTTTTGATAAAAATCATTAGATTACTCTAAGCATCTGTAAACCTGCAAAATCTGGGAAAATCCATCAATTACAGACATTCTGTTCACGTGAGCAGCACCTGTCATCCTCCAGATGCACGACGGAGTGCGAGTCTGAGTCTGAGCCAATCACTTCTTTTGACATTTATCAGCTGACTAATTTAAATACAACTTAACATTCATGAGGTACTTTRCATTGACTGTTTATGGTTGAGTGTGGCCGTGTAGAGGGTAGAACCTGAGGCGGGACCTTGTGCACAAACTCTGACGTGCGGCTGTGATTTATAAATGAAAGGTGCGCAGAAACATGCGTACGCATGGTTTTATAAATCTGAGGTTTTTTTTGGAGTACACCATTTTGGCCTTTTGGCCGTGCGTTCATTTTTAGTATGGTTTCCACGCAATCCTTTATAAATCTGACCCCAGGAATGGACATGGAAAAAGTGCTGGACATCTACTGGGCGAACCGTTCAATCATCTGGCAGTGAGTGACCATGGCTGAGGAGCTTAAATACTGGTGGGAACAGGTGAGGCAGATGAGGCTGATTGCTGTGGCACTGAATGAGGAGGCGTGGCATGAACAGGTGATCAGAGCATGAGTGACAGGAGAGCAGAAAACAGATGGAGCAGYCAAAACATGACAGGAGGCCTGGGGTATGTGCACACTGTCTTTAAACAAAACTTAAACTTTTGATTGAGAGGAAAAATATTTGGASGTAACAAGAAGCAATCAGGGGTGGCTGCCTGCCGATTTGGCTCCACAGCTCGAATATTTGTTCACCTCTTTTCAACTGATGTTCAAAATTCAGCAACAGTTTAAACAAACATGACAACAAAGACAATGGACTTTAAAACAGACAAACTTTAAACCTCTTAAAGAATTTGAGGAATAAATTTAACCTTTAGAAATCCACTGAAAAATGGGCTCCGAGAAGAAAGGGCTGCATCCTTTTAAAACTTACATTTTATATATTGTGGTTCATTTTTAAGGTTTGCAGCTTGAAATGTCTGATTTTATGTGTGATGGCCTGTAAGGACTGAGGGGGTGGGTGGAAAGTTGCTACAGGGCAGAATGTTAGAAATGTCTGCCCTCTACATGCAAATCTATACACACCCACGCTCAGTTGTGTGGACTGAATTGGACATTTATATATGTCTGTCTGTCTCTGTGTTATTTGTTGAGCCCTGGTGTTCATGCAGAGGTGTGCGTGTTCGGCTTTGGTGGCATTTGGGGGCAATTTTAAGACAAAAATCCTACATTTGGGGACAACTGGTGCATTTGGGGACA